CTTTACAACAGGGATATAAATAAGGAGAAATAAATGCCCTGGGCTGCCCTTAATCACCCACCCCCACCCCTTCTAGGCCCAGCAGAGACACAAAAGGTCAATCTTGTCGGGACACATATTGGTTTCAAGGCTAAAAGGAAGCCCAGGGGAACTGGGTTTCCAGAAGTGGCTTCTGGATGAGGAGGAGAATGCAGCCAGCAAGAGGAGGGCTTTGAGGCAGCAGGGAGACCCCTCCCCAGACCTGGAGGCAGAGGCAGCAAGGTGAAGGGTAGGCTGAACCCCCCTGCTCCCCACCTGAACCTGGGTAAAGACTGGATTTTGCAGCTCTAAGCAGTCAGGTTTCAAATATGTCCCTCTAGACCTAAATTTAACCTCTGTGTACATCCTGTGTATGTCCATGAAAACATTTCCACACCTAAGTGCTGGTAGGAGCCAACCCTAAACCCTAGCACACTTAGTCCCTATAGGAGGCACAGGTCAGCTGCTAAAGCACTTGTCCCTACCCACTCCAACCTGCTAGAAGGTTAGAGGGTGGCCCGCTGCTCTCAAAGAGCACTGATGACAGACTGTCACCTCCTGGACAGTCAGGGCATCTTACATAGATTCTCAGCACCTGGTGCCATGCTGGGTCCCCAGGAGGCCCTTGGAACTGCTCAACCAGCGGGTGGTGGGTAGCAGATGGAAGGTGGGGGTGTGGAGGGAGAGCCTGAGGGCATGAATTAGGGGGCAGAGGAATGTCTCGGTAGGTTTACAGTTGGGCTGGTAGAAGGGTAGGCAGGTGGGCAGGTTGGGAGGAGGAGCTGGGGGATGGAGGAATGGATTGGTGGGATTGATGAGTGGATAAACAGAGGTGGATGTATGGTGAGTAGATAAAGAAATAGTTGGGTAGAAGAAGGGATGGTAGGGTGGGGGGCATATGGGGAGGTGGATGGGGGTGGGAGTGGATGAGTGAGGAGGTGCAGGGGTGATACGTAAGAACAAGCTCTAGTACCAGGACCAAGGTTCAAATGTGACTCGGTTCCTTGGGCATATCACAACCCTCTGAGCTCACATTTCTTCATCTGTAAAATGGGAGAAATACTGACCCCATAGAGATCTTCTGATAATGAAATCAGACAACACTGGAAGTCGTTCAGCATGCGCCTCCTGCTAATCATTACTGTAACCAGTACTTCTGGTACTTCTGGTACCTGCACTTCTGGTACTTCTGGTACCTGCACTTCCCAGGACTTCTCACAACAGCCCCGGGACAGTGAGACAGTGAAAGGGTGTCCCAGACAGGTGCACATCTTCAGTGCCCCGACTCCTTCTAACTGTAGACAGAGAGTGGGGTGCTCTATCCTGCAGGGGTGAGGGGCTGCTGATTGGGAACACCAGGCCCACCCTTATTGGGAGCCTCCCCAAGTAGAGAATGTAAATTCAGGACACCAAGAAATGTGTCCAGTGTAACATCACCCACCGGTTCCAGGAGAGCACACAAGAGTACAAAGAGCAGATTCCTTTCGTGAACATCCTGAACCTGCACAGTGACCATCCCAACGCAAAGTCCAGTTCTGCCACAGCTCACCGGCCTCCCCTGCAGGAGCGCCTAAGCCCCTCAAGAATAAAACAAAAACAAGAAACCCCTGTTGGGGAAAGCTCCCTGCAAAGTGAGGGGGTGATTGTGAGCTGCCAGAGAGGTGGGGAGAAACCAACACTGAGGCTGGTCAGATGCGCAGGGTGGGTCACTCTGGGAGTCAGACGTGCCAGCCTCCAAAACAGTTCCAATGTGAACTCACTCGCCACCTCCTGCGCACCTCCCTTGTGTCCCAGTGTTCCCCTCTGACATAAAGCCACACCTCTCTAATCCTCACATCAGCCCCATGAGGTGACCGTTATCTTTATCTCAGAGAAGCACAAACGGGGATCAACGGGGTTAAAGAAAATGCTGCAACACCATGTAACCAGCATCCGTTTTCACCGCAGACTACAGAAGCTTTTCATCCCTTTTAAAAAACCGGGAGGTTTCCTCCCATAAAAATAATACGTGCTTCTTAGAGAACATCTGAAAAACATGGAAAAGAAAAATGTCACCCCCAGGCAAGCCTGTTGGCCTTCTGCAGTCATTTTTCACGCATTATTTAGAGCGATGTATCTAGTGATCATGCAATTTTGCATCCTGGCTTTCGATAGCGCAAACATTTATCTGCATTACTTGACATCTTTCATAAAGGCCATTTTTGATGACTGCATAAATATTCCATCAAGTAGATACATCATAATTTACTTACCCATGCCCCCAATGTTGGACATTTCGATTATTTCCATATTCGTTTCAATATTCTATATTTAAATAATGTCCCAGTGAACATGTCTGTGCTCAATGTTTTATTATTTCCTAAGGGTAGATCCCCAAACATGAGATTTCTATATCAAGGTTTAACCCCGTTTTTATGTTCTTTAGGCACCCTGGCAGGCCTGGAACCTAATTCCAACTCTAGCATCACTCTGTTCTGTGGTCCAAGGCAAATCACCTCACCTCAGACCCCAAATATGAAAAGAAACAGATAGACTAAACCGACACGAGGGAAACAGTAGTGAAGAATAACTTGTGAGCAGATTTTAACTTTTGAAGGCTACACAGACGAAATCAACTGAAACGCGGACCACACCACCTATGTACTTTGTGACTACGCCTTACCCATCACAGTTGGCCTCTCTCCAGCCCATTTTCATGCTGGGTTAGCATAACAGCCTCTGCATGAAAGTCCATAACTAGGTCCAGATGGAAAGGATTAGTGATGGATCCCTCCAAAGCAAGGGGAAGGTCAACAGGCGAAAGAGCAGGACCACCAGGCACTGCCTTCTGAGGGAGAAACTCCCACCTCCAGCTCCTGAACCTCACTGCACCAGCTGATCACACAAGCCCACATGGGTGCAGGGGTGACCTCTTAACCTAAGATGGGCCAACCAGATTCTCTCTCCCAGGATCTGAAGGTAGGGAAAGACACTGTTGGGGTCTGAGCCCTGAGATCACAGGAAATGGGAGATGAATCTGCACGGTGCTAATCTAAGTCAGGGCAGAACAGAGACACTGCTGATGAGGCCAGGACACTGGTTTGCAGGGAGGAGCAGAAGAACAGGGTGGATGTTCAGGAAGAACCAGAACAGTCCCTCACATCTCAGTCTGGGCCCCCACTAGGGCCGGCAGGGCCTCACTTCCTGTCCTGAGGAGCCCGAGCACCTGCTGGCTGGGCCTGCCCAATACCCACCTCCACCCTCCTTCTCCCCAGCCTGCAGGATTCTGTTGCTGGATCTAAGTGCTCCTTGGCCAGACCAACCAGGAGAGTTAGCAGAGATGTTTTAGGATGCCAGGTGCTTGAGTCAGCACAGCAGGGTGGAGGTAGGGCAAAGGATATTAGCAAATAGATCTTTAAACACTTACTCCTGTATCTTTCCCTATAACCAGCTCTAAGGCGAAAAACTCAGTGAGCCTAGGCACCAGAGACATCCAACCAGATTGATAAATAGGTTTGTTTAATCATTTCCCCCAGACTGTGTCCTCTGTTAGGTGGCCTGTGGAGGGGCCCAAGATGCAGTGGCCTCAGCTGTAAACTCAAGTCCTAGGCTGCCCTAGCAGTGCGTGTGCATGGGAGTCTTCCCAGAGTCCTCCTGGCTTGTATACCTGCTTACAGCTGAGACCAAGAAACATTGAGAAGAAAGCTAAAGAAAACAGCCTCCCTGCACCCAAATCCAGCTGAGCTCCTGGATAAGAAAATACTCCCGCCAAGAGCTAGGGATCCAATGCCTGAAGAAAAAAGGCAGTGTTAAGCAAAAGTTCTGGCTCTAGAGCTTCTAAATATTCCCCAAAGGGCCATAGACTTCCCTTGAGGGCCCTTCTTCTGGACATCCCTCTGTTGGCTGCTACCAGCCCCTCCCTAAAGCAGCCAGCCCAGGACCCCCAGGATGAGAATATCTAATGTGTCTGGAGGCCACTGCCTCTCACTGGCTCTCAGGTCCAAGGCGTGCCAAGAGCAAGAGTAATATAGACTCCTGTCCCCTTCAGTGGCTCTTCAGGCCTCACTGGGCATGAGAAGGTCCCAACCAAAAGTTCTTACGTTAACAACAATTAAGGGAATTAAAAAACCTCCCAACCCAACATTCAAAAACCTGATAACCCTTCAAACCTAATAATATTTGGTAGTTCTAGATAGTTATAGAAAGCAAAGCTAAGAGAACATAAGTTATTAGAAAGCAGATTTAGAGTTCAAAGTTAAGAAGAATCTTCTAAGTTGCTGATTTGTCTAACAATGGAATAATACCAGTGGAGGTGGTCAACTCCCCACCCCTATAGGTAGCCAAGCAAAGACTGCAGGACCACTTGCCAAAGCGCTGCAGAAGAGATTCCTTAGATGATCTCAAAGATCCTGTCCAACCCAAGATCCCACAAAAGAAAATAGACGGGGGAACAATTCAGATACATTTGGCAACTCATGAAGTAGCAGAATTAGCAATTATCCTTTAAACTTGAAAGAAGCACATTGACAGCAAATAAAAATACAACTTAACACCATGGTTAATAACATTACACTCTGCGTTACTGTAAAAGGTACAGCAAGCTGAAAAGAGAAATAGATTCAAGAAGGGCTTAGTTAAATGAATATTCAACCCAAGGCAGGTTACCAAAGACAATGGGACAGCCTCCCGCAAAGGCTGGCAAAGGCTGGCATCACAGTCAACAAGCATGCCTGCTCCAGAATACCCTTGTGCCCGCACTGTCAGCATCATCTCATGAATTTGGATGAACTGCGGATTCTTTTAAATGTTTGCCATGGAGAAATGCTCACGCGGCTCCTTCCTGCAGAAAGGACCTGGCCTTCATAGCCCTGAACCCTTCCTGCCAGGGGACAGTGGGGGCCAAGGCCATAGGAAAGTTCAGGCCCCACTGACCAAATACTGGCCCGCCCACAGAGTGGAGATAAACCTCGGAGGGAAGTTTCTGGCCACAGAGCATCACTCACAGTCTCGACAGAGCCTGGTTATTCTGGAACAGCAGTTCTGGTAACACATGCAGCTGGTTCCGGTTCAGTCGCCTAAAAAAGAAAAGAGAAGAATCAGAAATTGCCTAGACATGCAGGAAATCCAAAGGACTTCTCAGAAAGCACCCAGTTCAGGGTCAGAAGGCCCAGGGTTCAAATCCTAACAGGGTCAGCATGTAAATCCCAAGAAAATTACCTTCCCTGGGCCTTAGTTTCTTTTTTTTTTTT